ACGATGGTGTAATTGGCGGAGTTTGATATTAGCGGTGTTTAACCCTTGGGTTTTACTACTACTACAAGAGAGTTATGCAGATGGTTGATTAGTGTTATTAAAGAAAACATAAAACGTATGTCTGTCCGAATGAGTGATATATTCGCTTAAGGATGACATCATTTTAAACAACAGTCCATGATGTCACAAGACCATTATAACCACATATGCCCTACGAACCTGAAGAAGAAGACAAAATGGAAATCCTGTCCACTGCTTAATACCATCACAAATGTGGATACTCACTGTGAACGTGGTCAGACGGGCAGACACAGGTTAAGATGGTCAGTGACCATACTTGGATATTTAAACCACAACACAGTCATCGTACCATACTTCGGCACACAATCTTGCAATTGAAAAGTGTCGTTAAGTGAACCAAGAACACGCAGACATTGTGGCAGACCCGCCTCCACTGTCCTGTCAAATTCTGAAACGTTGTTAGTGTTCTGCCGTTGACATGTGAACAAATGAGAAATGGTTTTTGTTGTTAACACTCTTGTGTTGTGAGCGGCCTACAAAAGTCAGAAAGTTGGCAGCTATGGAGATTGTCAAGTCAGTGAAAGTCTGCACATTCCAGTCTGCCGCAAGGGTGACCATCCCTCTCCGCAGCCTTGACCCCCTTTCAGTTTACTTTCACTCCCCTTCCCCTAGCGTGTAGGGGGATGGAGCATTTACAGCAAAGGACAGTGCAGCGATCCGAAAACAAAAGTCGAAAATATTATTTGGTGTGGAGTTAGTGAGATGATGAGTAGATATATGCATGGTTAATTGGAAAGTGTGGCAAAGTAGTGGTAGTGGTGAATTTCGTGGAACTATTTCCGCGTTGACTGGAATTGATGGGGAAAACTACGACAGATTCCCTGCTGTAATTACATTCGAAATGGACGCCTCTTGACTACAGCTCAAAACATTTCGAGCGTGTCAGTCTGTTGGTGGTCATCTCTGGTCTTTTACCAGATGGCGGGGTCTGCGTTATGCATATCCAGTATTTATTTTGCACGTGCATTGTCGTTTCTTGCTAAGCTGAACTCCAGGGAGAAGAATAAGGAGGAGATGAAGAAGGTGATGAAGGATAATAGCCGAAGAAGAATACGATGAAAAATGAAAACAAGAAGGAAAAAACGAACAAGATCACGTTTTGAGCTCGTTTAATCTCGTATGTAGATACCAACGTTTCGGAGAAAAGTATTGTCAGCTGCTCACTGAAGATGGGTACCACGCGGCATCAAACCCAGTAGAACAGCATCGTTGTCTTCACAGGTCTGAGAATCTCAGTTCTCACTACATTTTTCTAATGTTGCTTTGATACGTGTTTCTGAAACCTTCACTCTGCAGAAGTGGCTTCCCTATTACTTAGATGTCAAACGTCGAAAAATGAATATACTAAAGAATTACCAAACGTTGTGAGTGGTTAGATCTCCTGTTTCGTATTCTGGCTACTTTGGCTGAAATTTTTCGTGACTGCCCTCGGTTTTTCCAGAGATATGCCGGGGTAGTACCGAAATTAGGCCAAAAACGCTTCCTTCCACATCCTTTCCAATTCATTGCTCACTGTCATTCTCTTGTTCGACGCTATATAGTCTAGATACTTAAAGCGTCGTTAAATAAACAACAAATAAAAAGTAAATAATTATTAGTTCTGAATTATCCCAGTGGTATTTACCCAGCATCGCGTTGCTGCTGGAGATACCACAGACAGATCAAAGCACGGGGAAGCAACGTAAAAAGGCAAGAGGTTAAATAAAGATGAAGATTTCTGTCTTCTGGGTTGTTGCGCCGTGTAAAATGGTAGATCATCAAACTAAAATAAAGATGGTAGGAAGGAAAGAAGAGAGTGATAATATTGGAACAAATGAATGA